CAACGACCTCACCAGCAAGGAATCGAACCTCGACCCACTGGGTGGGACTAGGAACGCTACCGGCTAGGCCAAAGGACACTAAAGCAGTTCTAGACTCTGTTATATTTCACACAAAGCCTGTTCATCAGGATAGCGCCGTGAACCTCATTGGGAAACTGCCCGTGCCTCTTATGTGGTGTCAGTAGCATTTTACCGAATCCAGCTGGTATGAAACGCGGTACATATATATACTTCATTTTTAGTCCTTATAACACGCGGACTTTGAACATATATCAACGACCTCACCAGCAAGGAATCAACCCTCGACCTGCTGGGTGGGACTAGGGAAACGCTACAGCCAGGCCACAAGGACACTAAAAGCAGTTCTAGACTATTTATTTCACACAAAGCCTGTTCATCGAGCTGATGGCGCCGTGAACCTCATTGGAAACTGCCCGTGCCTCTTATGTGGTGTCAGTAGCATTTTACCGAATCAGCTGGTATGAAACGCGAGGTACATATATATACTTCATTTTTAGTCCATATAACACGCCGGACTTTGAACATATAATCAACGACCTCACCAGCAAGGAATCGAACCCTCGACCTACTGGGTGGGACTAGGGAACGCTTACCCGCTAAGCCACAAGGACACTAAAAGCAGTTCTAGACTGTTATATTTCACACAAAGCCTGTTCATCGAGCTGATGGCGCCGTGAACCTCATTGGGAAACGCGTGCCTCTTATGTGTCAGTAGCATTTTACCGAATCCAGCTGGTATGAAACGCGAGGTACATATATATACATTTTTTAGTCCATATAACACGCGGACTTTGAACATATAATCAACGACCTCACCAGCAGAATCGAACCCTCGACCTACTGGGTGGGACTAAGGGCAACGCCGGCTAAGCCACAAGGACACTAAAGCAGTTCAAAGTCCGCGTGTTATATGGACTAAAATGAAGTATATATATTCTCGCGTTCAACTGGATTCGGTAAAATGCCCCATAAACGCAATTCCAATATCACGGCGCCATCGAAAACTCATATGCTTTTATGAAATAACCTAACCAACAAGCTCTTCACATTATGAATTGTCTCCTAAATTGGATACGAGTTGACATGTTCTGATGGGTACGAGTTGTCCAGCACCCGTGAAATTTGAGGTCATTTCCCGGACGTGAGATGATATGGCCGCATCGGCGCTATGCAACCCGGCATGTTAGTCCTATATATATATTAACTGAAAGAAATTCACCCAACTCCTACAGGTGGTGGTCCTTTTTTACACCTTTACCCGAATAAACATACATTACTTCCCCATATACCAGGTACTGATCAATACTACACCAGCATCATTTAATATAACGTCTACCAGCAGTACAGCATTAACCTCCATTATTATTACTACCTCATACTCTTAAATGTCCTTAATATGCATCTCAAGTTGCATGCTGGTTACATCACTCATTTCCCTATTACAATAATGCAACAATTACAGATCTCGCAATGTTTAGTCTTATAATATACGTGGTGATGGGAAAGGCCTAGCCAACCCGGGAGTAACAATCACTAGCATCTACAAGTAATGAGTTTATACACAAGTTATTATAATATGTAATAGTGTACCTGTTTCCTCTTAGGCGGCATGGCTAAGATGGAGAAGTTTACCACACGAGTCACAAGCTGGGAATATTGTAATAATGGAGGAAGATCACACAAGACTGCACACGCTCTTCCCACCTTCCTCAGCATTGACTGCACCTAAATAATCGGCTTTCTATATAACCTACAGTTCATTTTCAGTGATGACCATTTAAATCAACTGTTTATTTTAAGATTATAATTAAGTTTATATCTGATACATCCACCCAGAGAATTTTAAGAATATAACAGAAATACAGCTTTACTTTTACTTTTTTACTTTTGCTTTGGATATTTATTTCTACGCAGTTGCCTCGGGCGGATATAGTCTGTTCTTCAAAGTTGTGCCTTATTTTTTTATATTAAGAACAGTACTATATTTATATTATAACATAAACATTTTTTTGTTACTTTGTTATGAACTTCATTGTCTGGTATTAGTACAGGTAGAAACTGGAATACACCGGTAGTGTTATGGGTCTGTCGGGACGCACATGAAGGGTGTTATCCAACTGTGAGCAATGCTACATTAAATGATATAAAATTGTGTATAATATCTTGAAAACCATTTCTTGTTCCCATACTTTCTCGGCATTTTATAAGTAAAGTAAAATAGGTAGCGACTTTTCAAACACCCTGTATATAAGATAAATGTGCGTATTATCTGAAAAATAAGTGCAAAAGTTTTCCTAATATACTATTGAAGGATTATGAAAGTTAATAAACTTAATATGACCTAAAATTTAAGGACAATACAGTTTTTCATTAGGTTTTATGTAAACAATAATATATTAGATCCATGGTCCCTGACCCACTGATTGTTTACAAGCTACAGCTGTAAAGTAAATATTGTCAAGTGATAACACCTCTGAGGAGCCTGTCATCACAAGACAACAGTTAGAGCAGAGAGGACAATAAGGTACTTGTTCCATGTTGTGAGAACATTAAATCTAGCAATTAATTTTTATAAGGACGAACGTGAATTTGGGTAAAAGTCAGGATATAAGTAGAGCAATCTATATTAGGATGAAACAGTACAGTTAAGGTAATCCTGTATTTAAATGGCGTAAAATAACGAGCGCCTTTGTTGACATCAGGGATGTCGGGTGCAGATAGTGACACTTACCTGCACCCAGGTGTCAATGAGAAATTCGGATGCAAATTGCTGCATCTATTTACGGTAATACTGCAGTTTACAGCAACCAGAGAATTCCGGAAATTCGCTACACTCAATCGATAGAACTATTTTGTTAATGATAATTTTCTTCCATTACATTTCCGTTGCAAATTGATAATAAGGAAGTTATTGAATTTTAAAAATAATAAAATAAGAGCACCTGTTGCCACAACAGTTGCTCAAATTGTGTGTTTGTACGTTCGCTCACCTCCCATGCATGTGCCGGGGCGGCCGCCAATCAAGTCTAGGGTGGGGGTGAGAGCTAATCAAATCCAAAAAAAATCTCAACTTTTGATTCAACCAATTAGCGTTCAATATTTCGTGTGGGTGGTTAGATGTGGAAAAATTTTAATCAGTTGCAACATGGAGCCATAATGTGCTGGGTGCGATTTCGATTATTGAAAGTTTATCATATTATTTAATTTTAAAAATAAGGAAACTTTAGAGAATAGAGGAACCCACGATGCGTTCTGGTCCCTGACTCTGACTCGGAATAAGGTAAGAAATACTCTAACAGCTATTTATATTCTTGTGGAGGCTGACCACGTAACTAGGGTTATTAAATAGTGTTTGGGGGTCCGGGGGAGAAGCCCCCGGCTAAGGTCACCGGGGGTCTGGGGGCGGAGCCCCCAGTAGGGGGTTAGGTAAGGTTTAGTTTGGTTATATGGTATAAGTTAGCAAGCACAGAGTACCGGGAATTCCAGAACACGCAATCGATAAAACTATTATGGGGGGCGGGGGCTAAATTCAAAACGAGTGATAAAAACGAATGTGAAATTTGAACCAATCACATCAAAAACTTTCTGTCAGATTTTTTTGGTTGCTGTAATCTGCAGTTTTACCCTATTTACACCCAAATTAGAGTAAAAAAAGTAAAATTATCGATTTGGTTAATAGTTCAAAACCCATAAAAAAAACATCGGAAAACATAATTTCAACCTAACCTGCTGGATAACCGAAACGATAATAATACCCTCAGTTTGATATCTGCTATCTAACCAACCTAACCAAAGACACCTACCTATACTTACCTATTGGTGAAACTGTAATCTGCACCATAGTTTTGTTAGTGTAAAATTCTTATAATATTCGATAATAGTGTTGAAATCTCGGGTTCAAATAATGGTTTAACTATTTGCTCCTGATTTGTCTCATCAAGGGAATCTGTTTGTCAGTGTGACTATCTGTTGCATTGCAAATATTGAAATCATTATTTGTATTATCAGGTGCAAACAACATTCTATTATTATCTTTTTCACTGCATATGCACAGTAGCTTCAATTATTTGTGTATGTTTCCTTGCCTGACAGGTAATACAAAAATAGATACGGTACTATTCTGTGTTGATATGCTTATTCTCAACACAACACATGGAATGTGGCCTGTGTGTCGTACTGTACTTCCACATGTTGAGGATCCTTTATTTGAAATTCCAAATACAGTACTGAACAGATCCCCCAAAACGAAAAGGGTTTTGAATAGATTTTATTGTATTTGAGTATGAAGGCATGTGTTTCTGGGCAGCTTAGATGAAACAATCAATTAATCAAAAGTACTGTACTCATATCTGAGGGTTGGTGACCACAGTCCTTCACTGGAAATGTTTTCAGGCTGTTTTACTATTTCCCTGAGATTTTGCATCTCTTGGGGACAAAGGCATTGTACAGTATAGTGGATGTAGCCTATCCTGGCCTGCATAGGCAATGCAGTATTAGCCTAGGCTTAGGCTATTATGATGCAAACATCCAGAAATAACGAACTTCTGAACTGCATTTGGCCCCAAGGTATTCGGATAAGGGATCCTCAACCTATCATGCAATATTTCTTATTATTTTGCATTCTGAATATCATAACTACAAAACATTTGCACACAGTAATGGTACAGTGCAAGAAAACATCAGAATAATAATGATTTCCCAGTTGCAGGAAGAGTCATACAAGTGAAGCTGTGCTGATCATGAGCCTTTGAGAATGCCGTCTCATTTTCAACAGTACAAGAACATTTCACATCCAGACAACAGTTTGCATATCTTTAGAGAAGTTTATATCAGTCACAAGATGTAGCAAGATCCTCACATGAAAAAAGATTTCTTCACACTGTATTGAAGATCAATAATGATTGTGTGAGGAAAATGTAAGTTATTTTTTAGTAGTAAAATGTAGTTTTAGAAAGCAGGTACAGTTCTGTATATTGCAGCATTAGCATGACTAATCCTGTTGACTACCAATATTCAAAACACTGCAGCGTCTGTGGCTTGCAATTTCAGACAGAAACCGAATTAAACCTGCACATGCTGTCTCACATAAGTCAACAAGGCCATCAATCCCAACAGATCTCTTGCAGTGAATTTCAATCTCAAGATATGTATGGGGAAACTCACATATTGGATAAGTCCCCCCTATCCTTCAGCTCTATTGAGAAAGTGCACCATAGTATTCCTTCTTCACCATGCGGCTCCTGTCAACAAGGTAGGTCATCATCACTTCAACAGGATAGGTCTCCAGTCTCTTCTTTGTTTCTTCAAGATCATAAATCTGATACTTACCATGAAAGATACTCTTGCCAAGCTACACACCCTGATCAATCAGTGGAAGAAAAACCAACTCATGAGAAGACTTCACCCAATATTTCATTTAATAATAATGAAGGTCACAAGAGTTCTAACCATATAGTAAAGGGTAAAATGCCTGGAGTTGGAGGCAATTACAAAAAAGCTTCCTCTTCCAGTTATTATAATGCTCCTACAGGAACAGAACATGAACTAAAAAACTACAGAATTTCCTCTAAGAGAAATTCCTGTGTGGTACCTTCTTCACATGTCCATAAAGGCAGAAATTTGTCTTATGTTGATGAACTTAATGGTTTGCAAAAACAAGTGCATCATGAGTTTATTCCAGATAAACAGGTTGAAGGTGAAATGAAAATGGGTCATCACCTTTGCCTTACATATGGGACTAAAGTTGTTGGTACTGGAAGTAAGCAATATAATAATGAGGTGGAGCAGAATCAATTACATTTATGTATGCCCTTAGAGAAAGAAGTTCCATGTGCAGATGTGCCTGAAATACAAGCAGTCCAGGAATGTTCTGGTAACCATCAAGATAATGAGAACCAACATGCACATCAGTTGCAAAAAGGGAATGTACTTCTTGAGCAACACAGCCCACAAAACTTTCAACCAGCAATGGAACAACTGGTTGACAAAGTTAGAGTCACACAACAAAATGAAAAACCACATAAAAATTTGAAACTTAGAAATTTTAGGAAAGACCTATTGACAAACACCAATTTACTGGACCCACAGAAAAATGAGTTGGATAATAATTTGGATACTAATCGGAAGAAACAACTACCGGTATACAACAGCACAGAAGGGAATTTGAGATCAGTGAACAGTAAAGATCAAAGACAAAAATCCCATCTTAGAAACTCTGTCTCCTTGCCAAGACGAGATCAGAAAAACAAGGAAGGAGGGGAAGAACATAATATTAAGGTAGTTGATGACACAAAGAGGAGAGAAGAGGATTTAAAAACTTGTTCTGCAAAGCAGTCAAATCCCAATGGTCATCTTCTTACTACTGCAAATTTTATCCAAGAATCTATTTTTATCCCTGATAAACCAAAGATTAAGAAAACTAGAGGACCCTATAAGAAAATGACCAAAGTTAATTATGATCCCACTAGTAATCCAGAAAAACCTTATTTTTGTGATGAATGTAACAAGAGGTTCAAGCTACGTGACAGCCTCAGAGCTCATCAAAAACAAGGTCACTCGGAAGAGAGACCGTGGAAGTGCGAACAATGTGGTGCCTCATTTAAAAAGAAAGGCACTCTTACAGCCCATTATGAAGTTCACACAAACATACGTCCACATAAGTGTGAGTCTTGTCCTGCTACATTCAGAAGACAAACGGAGCTTAATATTCATTATATCAAGCACACCAACATCAAGCCATATGAATGTGATCTGTGTGGTGCTGCTTTTGCCTGGAAAAATAGTTTGAAACACCATATGAAAACCCACTCCTCTGAAAAGCCTTATGAATGTGAAATTTGTGGAGCATCATTCAAATGGCCAGATTCATTAAAGTTACACATAACCACCCATTCATCAGTTAAAGAATTTGGATGTGATATTTGCAATGCCAGATTCAAATGGAAACGAAGCTTAAGGACTCACAAGTTAACTCATGCTGCCGTAAAGCCATTTATCTGTGACTTGTGCGGTTCTCAGTTTGTACAACGAGCTAAATTAAAATTACACATGGCTGTTCATACCAATGATAAGCCTTTTAAGTGTGAGTGCTGTGAGATGGCTTTTGCCCGCAAAGATCGCCTCAATGCTCACAAGAAAGTACATTCTGTGCATAAACCGTATAAGTGTCATTTATGTAATTCTGCATTCAGGTCAGACTATGGCTTAAAAAAGCATTTTAGTATTCACAAAAAAGCTGAGCAACTTCCTTGTTCCCACTGTGGTAAAACTTTTATTTGTATTCGAGAGGTAAGGAAGCACGAAAAAACTCACACAAACCCCATTACATTCGATTGTGAAGCATGCAATATGTCCTTTACATTAAAGAAAGAATTAAACAAACATAACAAAAATACACACAAAATTATGGTAAAAAATTTACGAAAGAAAAAAAGAAAAAGACGGTATGTTGTTTTAGAATCATCATCAGAGGAGCCTGAGATGATATGTATTGAACCACGAGTTGAAGATATGATGGAAATGAATGAGAGAGATGAGGGAATAGGTGAGGGAGAAGAGGAAGTTGTAAATGAGAGGGACGATGTTGGCAAAAGAGAAATATACTTGGAAAATGATAATCATCAAGGGGATGAGGGAGGGAATATAGCAGTAGACAAGCAAGTCAGTGTGCAAAACCTCTATACCATTGATGTAAAGAAAGAGGTTATTGAGAAACCCCAGGATACTGAGGCAGAAAGACATATCAAAGAGGAGAATCTTACTGATGAGGACAAGAATCATCTCCCTGTCTAAGAACAAAGTGATAATTATGCTTTAAGATTTTGAATTTTTCTAATGAAACTTAAGATGTATAACTACATTGTTTCCACAATTGTGGATACAATAGACTAGTATTTCAGTCCCCATTATATACAGGTAATACTAATAGATTGGATTACCGATGACTACAGGATCTATATCTAAAGACATGATAAAAAAAAAGAAGGAAATTTTGATGATTAGAAAAATGAGAAAATGTCATATCTGGATTAAACTTGCATGCAGAAATTGTGTTGCATTGTACAGTAATTAGAATTGTTTATGAGTAAACAATGAGTTAAAGACAGGCTAGAATAGTTTTCTAACAACTACCATGGGGGGGACTCATGAAAGAATTCTTATGTTGGAAAATATAGCTCCAGTGTTATCCTTTTGTGGAATTAATCTCAAGATTATAAGATTAAACTTGTGATCAATGTTGTGAAGATAATTTTATATTACATTTTATCTATATGCTGTACACTTGTTACTGTCACTGTGGAATACTTTGATATTTTGGGGGTCTCTTGTAATTAACCCAGGTATCAAATATAATGGTACAAAAGCTAGTTGAATATATTGAAGAATGTTAAGTGCTGTATGTGTGTGTTTCTAGATTATACATAGAATACTGTAGAAGGTGCTCAGCTCCTGTATGTAAATGGAGCACAAGTCAGTGTAGTTTTTAAGAATTTCCTGAATAGGAATACTAGATGTTTTTAATATTAATTACGGCAAATGTCAGTTTAATTACTGTCTTCAAAACCGAGGAAATGCTTCTGACGTGCCTCTTGTGGTGGGGCAGAAGATGGTGCATGACTGTCTCCTCGGGACCTAGGCATGTGCAGGCATGATTTGTTGAAGGGATGTGAGTTGGTGTACAGGTGCTTGGATTTCAGATAGGCCACCAGACTGTATCCTAATGATATCAAATGTCAGGCCTGTCTCCAGGAGAAGGGATATTTGGTCATGAAGGGAATGTGTTGGTGATGGCTGGGGATCTGTAGGAGAAGGCTTCAGGACATGCAAGGATATATAGTATGTACAAATGCAGCGACCTTATCATTGTCAAGAGGGATTAGGGGTAATTGGTGATAGTAAAATGTATGTCATACCTGATTGACTTTTTGAAGAGTAATTGATACTGTTTTGAAAGTATTTGATTGTCATGATAGGGTAGCACCTTCCAGATGCCACATGGGTTCAAACTCCTGTGAGATGATTTGAGCCATATGCAGCCTGTGTTGTCTTCCTGGTGAGGGAAAATGGAAATGTGCCATTAAATCTCCTTCCTCATACCTATTTTTCTATTAGATGATAATATTTTACATTTTATATGCTCAAAGGATTGATAGGATACCTTATTTTAATTGTTTTTTTAGGAAACTTCTTTTAATGTAACAGTACAGTACTTATGAATAATTCTAGATATACAGTACTGTTCTATACATGAACCATACAGTACATTGCAAGTAAAGTGCACTATACCGACACTGCCTAGTGATATAACAGATAAAGATGACAAATTACATTATTGTATGTTGGTAAGATCAGGAGACAAGTTGTACATCATGTAAGAGTGTGATTTATAGTACTGTAAGGTAATGTAATGCAAAATTTTATCTACAAAGAACATTGGACTACTCTGTCAACTATCAGATAATCGCAATTGTTTTCACAGTAAATGTTTTAGTAAACTATATTGTCTGTGGTTTAATTTATATATAAGAATAAATCTTGACATAGCAAAGAAAGAAAATTTAACCTAAACCAGGAAAGAAAATCTCCAGTTTTCTGACAACCAGTTTTGAGGGCCTGTACCTGGACAGTACAGTACAGTATTACAATAAGGAATTATCACTGTACAGTAATTACCCCGACTTAAAAAAAAAAGCTTCTTCTTTACAATCAACAAATACTGTACTGTACTCCTATGGACCTTCCATCACGATAAAATTTATAAACAGGCCTGACCCTCTGCTACTCCTTGCCATGGTGTGAAATCTCAACCGCTAGTGGTCTTTCAATGCAAATACTGTAGCATCATTTACAATATCACCCGCCGGGACTCTTTCGATGCAGTTATGTCAGTAAGAGGAAAGATTTCTCCATTTTAGTGAACATTGAGTTGAGTGCTCCAGATGTAAAATGCACCCTTAGTGATGCAACTGTCAACCCACAAGGCTATTGGGAGGAGCTTAGAGGGTTTCTAGGGCAGGTACACCATTCTTGCATTTCTACTTATGGGAGGGGTGTGCTCAGAGTGGGAACAACTGAGCCGGAGGGGTCATGGCAGTGTGAGAGTGCTTAGCGACACAATCTGTAACAAAATACTGTAATAGGATTTAAATCGGTTAATCTTTTGAACTATTGGTTCTTGAAAAAAGTTGCTGTGAAGTCCTCAGTTTAAGGAAAAGACAAGGTTTTAGTTAATGACAGAGGCAGTTTTATGGTCTTAGGTATTTGTTTTATGTTAGCAAAAGTCATATTACAGAGAACTAGATTTTTATCTTTAACGTTGATATAATGTATAGAAAAAGTATGGAGTAGAAATTGTTTTGCATATAAAGTATGGTTTATGGTCCTGTGCTTGTACAGAGAATATCTACCAAGAGCTTCTGTCTATATTATTGTTATGTTTTCAAAGTGGTTTATACTGTAGTATTTATAAGGTGAAATGAGTTTGAGGTTATTTTTTTCAGAGTACTGTAAATGTTTTATTTATGTAAGGAAAGCTTTATCTAAATGTAAATGTGAAAGATATATTTAAAGATACTGTACATGTATATGTAAATGGTATCTGAATATATATATTGATGTGGAAAGTACTGTAGGTAGTAAAAGTTAAACTGTAAATGTGTGCACATGTATAGAGATTCAATTTGTATGTCATTAATTTATTATGGAGATTTTATTATAATACCTGTATTGTATTAATATATGCAGACACATCCTAAATCATGAATGGATTACTCACAGGATCGGCTCTATCTACTTATGGCTCATGGACAGAGGTACAGGTTGTACCTCTCTAGTCTGGCATTCTGTGGTCCGGAAACTCCCGTGGTCTGGAACGATTTTAGTTTGTCCAATAGGTAGAAAGGCAGCTTTTTTTTTTTTTTAATACTTATCTGAATTATTATTATTATTACAGGAGTATTAAATTTTTGCCCCTCAGGCCTCAATGTGGGTCAGTGACCTATGCCCGGGTGGGCTAATCCCCATAAAAAAAACCAACAACAAAGCCGCGGGAAATTAAGGTTTGTTTACATCCGGCAGTTCGGCTGCTCTCTCTCTCTCTGCTTGTCTATACAGAGTACAACATTTAACCCTTCAATATATATGAGCAGTAAATAAGTGTTGCTTTCATATTCTTATGTAGAGTAATGACGATATGTTTTCACATGTGCGCACTTACATACGCGCAGTCTCACTTTTTTTTTTTACCATTAATGGTTAGCTACTTATATTGTTCCATTTATTAACATTAAATAACATTACAGGTACTTCAAACAACCATATTAATTTTTTCACATTAATTTTACTACAGCTACAATCAGGGTCTTATTTTCTTCAGTTTTATATGTAGAACCAATCAGTCACTGGTTTTGTAAGCTTTAACATAAACAATGTCGGCAGCGGTCTCGTCTCATCGTGTGTTTTAATATTCCACGTATTATTAATAAATTGTATTGTTAATTTTGCACACACAAACATTAATTCAATAAAAAGAAATTCAGAAACATTAATTAAAATATATATGAACAGTAAATAAGTGTTGCTTTTATATTCTTATGTAAAGTAATGACGATATGTTTTCACGTGTGCGTACTTACATACGCGATCTCTCTTTTTTCTTTACAATTATCGTTAGCTACTTCTATTGTTCCATTTATTAACATTAAATAACATTACTTAAAACAACCATATTAATTTTACTACAGCTACACCCAAGGTCTTATTTTCTTCAGTTTTATATATAGAACCAGTCAGTCACTGGTTTTGTAATCAACGAAAACAATGCTGTGTCATTTCCTCGTGTGTTTTAATATTCTACGTATTATTAATGAATTGTATTGCTCATTTTGCACACATAAACATTAATTCAATAAAAAAGACATTCAATAATAAACAATAATAAATCTTTAGTACATAAGAGAAATGACGCTGTTTACATGATTATGCACGTCGTCTGCACGTTGGCGGGCCGTTCAAACCCGTCGAAATTCAAGTTTCCGCCGTCAGAATTTTTTTTTTGTGTGTGTGTGTGTTCCAATAAAATACGTCGAATTAAAAACTCACAAAATTTGAGAAGCTACTATACGACATTTAACCCTTCAATATGTCTTCAAAGAGACCATGATGCAGAGAAAGTGGTGCTAGTGCTTCCAAGCATAAGCACAAGTCACTATCTATCCAGGAAAAGGATGAATTTCCATGGTCCGGCACCGGTCAGGTCCCGAGGTTGCCGGACTAGAGAGGTACAACCTGTATCAATATTTTTTTATTTAAAGCATTATTGTATATATTTTTAGTATAGGTACTACCTTCTTTATACCGTACTGTAATATCTATCTGTTGAGCATGACTGGTTATATATATTTTTTTTCATTTACTGTTTATATGTACTATTTATGACGACTTTTTAAATGACCAAGGTTCAGGCTAGCAGCTTTGTAACTAATTAAATCTATTTAATCAGTCTTTGTTTCAGCTTTTGTTCCTATTTGTTCTTCCTAATAAATAACTTTGTCTTTTGATATATGTTTGTTTGTAGTGCAGTTGCAGGATGAAGAAAAATGTTGGTAAATATATGCAGTATTTTAGAGGAGCCAGAACTTTCCAAAATCATCTTAAAATGACACCAAATGGATGAGATTTTTAACAGAGTGAACAGTATGAAACAGTAAGTCAACCTCTACATTAAATATGATACTGTACTGTAGTAATTACACTGACTCCCATTACATTCTTGAGAAAACAAAACCCATACTTGACCCTTGAGTTAGTTTCTAGTGCATACATTTCATGACTCATTACAGTGAAGAAACACAATTCAACCCACACAAAATACTTCTGATATAACACTTAGGTTTAAAGTGTTTATTTATTTAATAAAGTGGTCATACATATCAATAATGTTTCTGAGAAAGGAAGAGACCAGTGAGTAGTGCCATATAAAAAAAAAAAAAGCGTTGTTACCAGTTCTACTACCGATTTATGAAGGAAACTGCGCTCCTTCTTTTGCTACTGAAATAATCGTGCCACTATTATTACTCCCAGCACTGAACATAACACAAACCTACAAGTGTGGTAACCAACTCGAAGAATTGAGGCACCTAGAATGGGAATGGCATATCTCCAAAACGACTGTTTCGAGTAAATCACATTTAAAGATTTAAATTTATGTAGTACCATGGAAACTACTGCATGGATTTTAATGAAACTTTCTGCAAAAGTTGGACCTTATAAGGGATGTTGCCTGTGGAAAATTGAGCGCCATATGCCACATCCCCAAACGCCCCCCCCCTTTAAAAAACAAAAAAACAAATACTGTATCACCAAATTTTCACTAAACTGGGTATATAAGTTACGAGCTCTTCCAATGGAATTCTCGACCATGCGGCAGCAAAAGCAACACTGAGTCAGGCTTGATCAAGTAGAAGAAAGGCCAGTAAACACACCTGTGGCCATATCTCCAAATCATGATTTTGGCGGTTACGCCACTCCCCATTCTAGGCGCCTCAATTACCTGTAAACTACTGTACAGTAATTAGATAATATCAGCACAGATAGCTTAAAACTGTACTGTATATTTGATAAAGTAAATATGGTAACCTCAAGATACTACGATTAATAGTAACAAATAACTAGTGTATGTGTGGCAAATCAGTACACTGTACACTTGTACTGTATTGTAACCCATATTCACAAAGTTAACTAAACTCAGGAACACCAAAATCAACCAGCCTGCCAACTACTGCTCTACCTCCCTCTTCAGTTCTTCAGCTTCCATTACACAGTACGGTACTATGTTCATTCCTTCTCTAACTTCCCTTTGTGTCTTAAAAAAAAAGATGTTTAAATGTTACTTTGCAGATAAGAATTGTATAATTTTCCTTTATAGGTTGAACAAAATGCCTGGAACATTGGTAATGTCACTTTGTATCATTTTGTTTAATACAGTAATGCTGTAACACAGTTTTCAGTGTTTGCTGTTCAGATCAAGGTCAAGATTTAATTGAACACATTTTGTGCTAGACTGATTATGTCTAACTGTCCAGCAAATGCAATTCAAAATACATTTAAATGCATCGTAAGCTTTTGTACATTCCAGCTGGTAATGGTGTGTCAGGCTGTATTTTCCTGTATCAATAAACTGTATGAAATTAAAGTTCTACTTTACTTACCATTAGTATTTTATATAAACTATTTTTAGACTTTGCACACTTCATAATGGAACCAATATATACTGTACTGTACACTGTAGAGGCATCTGTTCTGTCTGTATTATTATATTTAAATCAAATTGTTTTCTCTGTCATTCATGGAAGGGTTGTGTGTGTAGTAGAGTATACATCAAACATTTCAGCTGTTGTACCAACCATCTCATCCATCCCCCTGTATCAAACTGTTAAGCACCCAGCAGCAATGTTTTAAAATTTGCAAAAAAAATTCCTATGTTGATTTTGGCAGCAAATTTTTAGTTAGAGAAGCAACTGATACTGTATGCTGTAATTGCTAGTACAGTACAGTACAGCTCTTTATTAAGAATCAATGGCTATGAAAAAGTGAGGGTTACTGCAGCAAGTAACTTGTTTTCCCATATACAAACATTAACACACGAGCAAGTTAAAGCAAGCAAAAGAGTAGGATTGAAAATACACTTAAGTAATACTAATATTCAAAAGTTCAACTTATTCTATAGGCAAGAGAAAAAAAGATATTTAACATGCCAAAGGACTGGGGACTAGTGCTCTCAACCATCTATTACAGTACTACCCGGTAATTAAGTTATCTTAACCAAGCAAATCTACCTTACTTCCAAACCCAGGAGGTTCTAACCCTTCAGATGCCCCCACGGGCGAGGGAAACATCATAGAAGAAAAGTGTCTTAGAATTGTCTAAATTGTTGTTTGCAAAGATAAAATTCCCTAGATTCGGTTGGTGGCAGCAAATGCAAAAATACCTTTCCTAGTACAGTTTTTTTTTCTAATTTTCAACTCTCGATATCTCGGTTTTGGGTAAAATACGCCAAAAGTGTAATAGAAAAAAAATCGTATTGTTTTGTCTGAAATTATAATTAAACATCAAAGCTACCCTATATCTAATTATGTCCTCTATTATAAATTGACCCAAATACACTATCATCAAATGAAATGAAATGAAAGAAAAGATTCACAAGGGAAAACAGCTTTTTTTTTTTTTTTAGGGGATTAGCCCACCCGGGCATAGGTCACTGACCCACATCGGGGCCTGGAGGGGATGTAATAATAATAATATTTCATAGTAAATAAATTTTTTAATCAGAAAAAAAATAAAATAAAATAATGACAATAATAATAATAACACTAATAATAATAATAATAATAATAATAATAATAATAATAGTAATAATAAAGAACCATAAAGAAATACAAAAATGAAAAAAAATATCAAAAGTGAGAAACAATTTATGAATGTTGTGTTGTCAATAGTACCAGAAACAATTGAGACCCTGCAATTGTGTGTAAATGAGGCAGAGAGTCAGATCAGCAACCTGGGACTTGGTTAAAATTTTCGTGATGCCATATGGCAACAGGATCTACCATTAGACAATATATTATGCTTCTAATATCTTCCTAGGCGGTAGTACTGTAGTGGATTTCTCCCCTACAAACGCTGTTTGTCGCTGAGTAGCCGACCCCGCGAATTCCCCAGTGTATGCCTCGTGGTCTGGGTCAACCAGCGCCGCCATACATCACGGAGGTCAACTACTAAGCCACGCCTACCCCGCTATTTAAGACCTGACCTCGTGGTGACCTCTCTCTTCTTCAAGCTACAGCCACAGCAAGCTACACCTCTTCCGCCGCTGCCTGGCGGCCCTCGCTCCCGCCGGCGAG